TGGTTCTTTCCTCTGGGTCCTTCCTGCGCTTGGCTGGGACCTGCAAGCCCGGCAGGTCCCTCTGGGCATCCCAACACGTCCCGGGCTGATGTCCCAGTGTCATGTGCTGTCTGTCCTGACACCACCAAGATGTGACAGTGGCGCTCCTGCTCATCTCCAGACTCACTTTCCAAGGGAGCTGAACAGGCAGCCCACTGCTCCACTGGTGAGGCTCCCAGTGCCCTGCACAGAGTAGAGCTGAGTGTGTCATCACTCTGTCATCACAGAAGGCCTCGTGCATCTTCTTCTTTTTTAGTTAAATGAGTAATACCAGGAGCTATGCATGGGAGAGGCACCCACAAGAGGGACAGCTCGAGCCTCAGGGGGTTTCCAGGCTCAGCTGGAACAAGCCACAACCGGCCTGAGTGGTGACAGTCCCACCACAGCCTGGTTGGGCTATGAACCTCCCCCCCTACGCAGCTGAAATTCAGTGTATTTTTGGTAACAACGCTGCAGCTGACCAGAAAAAATAAAAATATTTTCCTATATTAACTTAATACAGAGATTCTTTGCCTAAAGTAACTCTACTTCCCCATCCCAAGGAGAAGTGGAAGGTCCATGGCAAAACCCATGAGTGTTTTCTCCACTGTCCCAGGCTGCGACCTGCTGTTGAGCTCCTGCTGCAGGAAGTGTCCTGGTTTCCTGTGCTCAGGTCTCGGATGCCACCTCCTGGCTTTCCCGCTGTACTGTGCATGTCGTGACAGCGCAGACCGGCAGCACCTTTCCCATCACACTATCCCAAATAACATCGCCGTGTAAAGCCTGACTGGTTCAGAGCAGCTTTTATTCTTTGAGGATCTGACCCGAACCTAAGTATTTTTTAATTGCGATGGAGGTAACTCCTATACCTAATAACCCTGAGGACTCCCATTGCAGCAGCACCTTGACTCCCAAGACACCTCTGGGATGTCATCCATCACTTTGAGGGTGGGACTGGTACCTCACCTTTCCCCAGCATCTGTTGTGTCCCCATAAACTTACATGATCCCTGTGCCATCCATTGTTTATCACCTGCATCTTTCCATGGGGGATTGGGATGCTATTTCCAAATCTCTACAGTCTTCTTGCCAAGTTGGGGAATAATTTAACAAGTAGATGGATGGCAGGGGGATAACAGAGGTATTTTTGGAGCTAGAAGACTGTGTGTGATATCCAAGCAAAACTCCTGAGCGGGGGCACTGTGCAATAAGGAAACAGGAGGTGAGGAGCAGCCAGCACATTGTCTCCTCCCTGCTTGGTCTCCATCATTCCCTGCCTCTTCCTGCCTTCCTGGTGACGTTTGGGCCTTGGGTGATCCTGCTTGTACACCCAGCAGCCCTGCCTGCCTCTTCCAGAGGTGCTACCGAGTTCATCCAGCATCACACAGCTCAGACAGTCATTTTATCTGGTCATGTGCCAGGGCTGGGCTGGGCCCCCACAGGGCTGGGGCATGTGGTGCTCCCTGACCTGCTCCTCATCCTCACGGGGCTGCACCACATGTGTTTGCCAGGGGAATCCCAGAAGTGTTGCATGAGCTGCAGCTTCTTCCCACAGCTCAAACCTTGTGTTCAGCTTTGGGGCCCTCACAACAAGAAAGACATTGAGGGTCTGGAGCGTGTCCAGGGAAGGGAACGGAGCTGGGGAAGGGGCTTGAGCACCTTGGGGAAGGAGCAGCTGAGGGAGCTGGGGGGGCTCAGCCTGGAGAAAAGGAGGCTCAGGGGGGACCTTCTCACTCTCTGCAACTCCCTGACAGAAGGGTGGAGCCAGGTGGGGATCAGGCTCTGCTCCCAGGGAACAAGGGACAGGACAAGAGGAAATGGCTTCAAACTGTGCCCAATACTAAATTGGGTATTGGGGAAAATCTGTTCCCTGAAAAGGTGATCAGGCACTGGAACAGGCTGCCCAGGGCAGTGGTGGAGTCACCATCCCTGGAACTGTTCAAAAAACATGTAAATGTGGTGCTTGGGAACGCGGGTTGTTGGTGGACCTGGCAGTGCTGGATTAACAGTTGTACTTGATGTTCTTAGTGGGCTTTTCCAATCTAAACAATTATGTGATTCTATGATTCTTGGAAGTCAGCTGGGAGCAGTAGCTGCTAAATCTTGCTGCAGGATGAATCTGGGGGTCTCTGAGACATCCCACAGTTATGCCTGTTGCTGTCTGCCCGACGGACCAACAACTGGGGGGTCATGAGGTGTATTCAAAATGGTCTTCAGCCACGACAAGGCTTCAGCCCGAGAGAGGATGGGTGGAAAGGAAATGTTGGCAGCGGCTCCTCTCCCTGCACTGCCGGTGCAGACCAGCAGGTGGGAGTTACTGGGGTTTGATACTTAACAAAAAGTAGTTCATCACATTTCCCGTAGAAATGGGCTGAAGGCACCGATCGTGCGCCTGCACGACTCACCTGCATCTGGGGACCCTTAACCATCAACAGAGGTGTGTGAGACCACGAGGGGAGCACAGCACTGCGGGGTGCTCTGACCTCGGGGACAGGAGCCCCTGTGAACAGCACATCCCTTGATGAACTCTAGTGTTGACATGAATCCCTTCCTACCTCTCTGGTTGGAGCAGGGACCTAGTTTTGGATTTGCCCCCCCTGCACACGCCCTGGTCGGCTGTGAGTGTGTCTGATCAGCTCCAACAGGAGCAGCTTATCCAGCACAGCTGTGCTCAGAGGCCCTTTTACGTCACAGCAGCTGGATTTTCTATTCCCAAAATGCTCCTTGCTGCAGTGCCCAGACCACGCTGTGGCAGAGCACAGCATGTTCAGGAGAAAACAGCCTGAAAGAGCCCATATTGACTTATTTTTTGTCCCACCTTCAAAACAAGGAAAAGAGGAGGAAGTTTCCAGTAAACTGTAAAATGAAAGTGTGCCCAAATCAGCCTTTTTCCCTCTATTTCTTCCAACCCCAATGCCAGCTTCCTTATTCCCTGGTCAGTTTGTCCTACAGCCACTGGCTGACAGGTCTGGGCAGCACAAGGACCAAAGGTACCATGACCTGATCCCTTTTTCCTGGCAATGCCACAAGCCTGTGCCCCGTTCAGAGCCTCCGTGCACCCCAGAGCTTCATCCTGTCTGGGGAGATGGACACTTCGGGGACATTCTCTGTATTCCCTGTATAGGAAGGATATTGATCTGCTGGAGAGAGTCCAGAGGAGGCCACCAAGATCATCAGAGGAGCACCTCTGCTGTGAGGAAAGGCTGAGAGAATTGGGTTTGTTCAGCCTGGAGAAGAGAAGCTTCAGGGTGACCCAACTGCAGTTTTCCAGTACCTGAAGGGAGCCAAGAAGAAACATGGAGAGAGACTATTTACAAGGGCCCGGAGTCACAGGACGGGGGAATGGCTTCAAACTGACAGAGGGCAGGGTTAGATGGGATATTGGAAAGAAATTCCTGTCTGTGAGGGTGGTGAGGCCCTGGCACAGGTTGCCCAGAGAAGCTGAGGCTGCCCTATCCCTGGAAGTGTTCAAGGCCAAGCTGGACAGGGCTTGGAGCAACCTGCTATAGTGGAAGCTGTCCCTGACCACAGCAGGGAGTTGGAACTGGCTGATCTTCAAAGGTCGTCTTCCCACTCAAAATATTCTGTGATTCTATGATTCTACTCCCTGAATTTTGAGGACATTCTCTGTCCTCGAGTCACTGCCCAGAGCATTCCTTTGAGCAGGACCCCTGCGGGGAGCAGCCAGGGAGGGGCAGGGGCATTGCACTCCTGGCCGGGCCAAGGTAGCAAGTGAGGACACACGTGTGCCCACACGCCTGCGCCAGCCCCGCTCCGGCCGGGGAGGGGACGCCCGGGGACCCTCGAAGCAGACGTGACCTACTTTAGCTCCGAGGCAAGCTGCGTTGAGCAGGTCCCAGTGTAAAAGCTTAATAGAGCCAGGCGTAAATTATTCATGGCCTGGCCATGTTAATGCATGTGCTAAAGGCTTTTTTTAAAAAAAAAAAAAAAAAACAAACCCAGAAAAAAAAATCTGCTCTATAATTTAAAGCCTCGCACGCTCCCATCACCAGGCCCCGCTGCTCTCTGGAGTGTTTCTGCTCAGGTGAGCAGAGCTGTGAGATGTGGACAGACCCAGCAGGGAAGAGCTGGCCCGCTGCAGCTGGGATTGGAGCAGGAGCTGGGATGGCGGGAATCCCATGGGGAAGGGGCTGGCAGTGCTGCTCTGGCCCGGGCAGCCCATGGCCCCACAGCGAGTCACTTCCCGGAGCAGCAGCGCTCAGCTGAGCCCATTCCCAGGCACAGTGGCCAGCAGGGCTATTTTTAGACCTGCCTTTTGCTTTTTCTGATTTTTTTCCTTGCTCCTTGCTTTCGCTCAGCACTGCCCTAGAAGCCCTGGGGAGAGAGGAAAACACTGATCCCTGGGGCGGGAAGCTGCAGGGGAGGGCTTTGGAGTGCCCACGGCAGGGACTCAGGGAGCTGAGTCCCAGGGGCTCCTTGGGCACAGCGGGGAAGCCCCAGGACACCCCACAGGGACTCCCACAGGGACAACCACCCCCTGCCCCACAACTGCCATTCCCACAGCTGCTTTGGTGAGTTTGGATAAGGCCACAGAAGGATTGGGGCAGCCCAGCACCAGAGCAGGAACTGGGCAGTCCAGGGCGACGCTCCAGTCGTGGAGGACATTTGCCTTCTATGGACATCTCCTTGCTGACTGCTGGCACGAAGGAGAGGCCCTCAGCCTCCCCAGAAGCTGGGAGGGGGAACAAAAACACCCAAAAAAAGCTCAGGGCTGCCCTCTCAGAGGCCTCCAGCAGAGCTCAGCACCAACAACGCCTCCAACACATGCCAGCAAGGACTTGCCCTTCTCGGAGGGGGGGGGGGGGGGGGGAGAAGATGCCACCTGATGGTCCAAAGCAGCATCCCAAATCAGCCCCCATCCTTCCAGGCTGGGAAATGGAAGTGGGGAGGGGACAGACTGTGGGTAACACCAAGCATGAAGCATCCCACCCTAAGCCCACAAGAAAACACACGAGACCAGAGAAAGAGTCACAGCAGCCTCTGGGTATATATTTTTTTCTTTTTTTTTTTTGGTTGCATTTCATATATTATCCAGTTTCACATTCTCATAGGATCAGCAATTATAGAGCAACTTATTCTCAAATCTTTTAATACAAGCGAGACAGCCATGGTCAGATAATACTTAAAGCACTTCAATACCAAGCAATAAGATGCTAAAACAAAAATTGCACAATTTCTTGTTTACTATGCCTGACTGAATCATTGGTACAGAAGACAACCCTTCTCTTTCAAGCTTTTAACTAAACATTAACTTATCTTACAGGATTACAATTTCTCTTTAATAATAATAATAATAATTAATTGCACACAAACACACAAGAAATTCTTTATGATGCATAAATATTTCCTTATTACACATGGTACAAAAATACTCGTACTTTTTATTTCTTTTTGTTCGGTATTCCCATAAGGATGGCTGATTATTTGGCAGGACTGGATGCTCTCCAATCAGAAGGATGTGGAAAACAAAAAAGAGGTTAGATATTTTACAGCCGTTCTATATATAGAAGTCTGAAGAAGGAAGAAAAAAAATAATAACCCTGACTTTAAAAGAGGAGCAGAATGGATGAGAACAGAAACCCAGTGCATCGTACTTGGAGGAGGAGGGAAAAAAAAAAAAAGAAAAAAAGGCGTTTTTCAAATTTTTCTGGTCGTCCTGGGGAGGGGAGGGTAGAGGTGGGAGAAGGGGTGAGACAAGGACAGTTAGTATTTCTCAAAGCCAAGTCTTCACCGGAGCAAGAGGAAAACCTTGATGGATCAATCCGTTGGGGCCAAGACCTGTTGCTAACGGTTACACAAACGCTAGAACAAACAAACTTACACTCACACAGACACAAGTTAAGTGTTTTAATTCATGCCAGAAAACATGCAAAACCCATTTTGCCTTTCGATTCCTTCAGCCGAGCCGCCCCCCAGGGCAGGGCGAGCCCGGGGAAGCCCAGGACCGAGCCCCCCCGGCTGGGTTTCGGCGCAGCCGGCCGGCGAAGCTCGGTCAGGGAGGATGTCCTGGGGATGGATAGAGGGAAGGATGGAGGGAGAGGGGGATGGAGGCGGCGCACAGCCCCACGGCTGGGGCCGCGGCGGCTTCACAGTCCGGGGAAGGGGGTACCCCACAGTCCGGGGGGAGCGCGGCGGGGCCGGGCGCCTTGTCCGCTGGCCGCAAACCAAACCGAGAGGAGTCGGAGCGATCGTCCCTGGCACATCCCTCCGCGGAGAGGCAGGGGGGAGGAACACGAGTCGAGGAGAGACACTGCGGGAGAGGAGCGGCCGTGAGCGAGGAGGGCTGGCTGGATCCGCCCCCTGAGCAGCACCACGGCCCCCTCTCTACCCTGGAAGCTCGCTGGGTCCCCCCGCTCCCATAACCCATCCGTGAAACACAGCTGAATCCTTGGGGGATGTGTAGGACTGAGCTCGAGCTCCCATCCCTCCTCCCGCACAAGAGCCCAAGGAAGAGCAGGACAAGGATCTGGCTTCAAGAGTAATTAATTACTTACTAACGAACTAACAAAACTGACGAGACTTCCATCCTTGCTGGGTAGCTTCAGAGGGAGGATACCAGCGCATCTGGAAAAAAAAGCCACGGCAGAGGTCCATGATCCAAGATTATTTCGACCAGAGCACAAACCTTCAGCTCCTTCAAGCCGTGTGCAAAGTCTACGGACCAAAGATGTCTCCAGTACAGGAAAGGAGGCTCCAGGTCGAGCCCCAAATACTATTTGAGTAGCATCTCACCCTGGGCCTGCACCATGCCAGCACAGCCCAGCATGCCAGCCTCACACTGGCCAGCTCTGGTGGCACTGGGACTTGGCCAAGTCCTCCCTGAAGGATCCCACATGTCCAAGAAGGAAGCCAGCAGCCCATCTCTTGGCTTGTCTCAACACCTCGAGCACTCTCTGTCTATTGGCATAACCAGAAGGCAGCCCCAAAATTCACACCCACACCCGGCCCCCGCTCACTACAGCACACACCACCCTTCATGCTTGAGAAGCTCCTCACCACTGAGCTATCCATGAAGTTCACCTCTACAGAAGCAGACACAAGGAGGGACTCTTCACCCCCAGCACACTCTCATTGCCCCCCCACTCCAAGTTTACTTCTTTCCCCCCTGTTCAGCCTCAAGCAGGACAGAGAGGGCTCACTTTGGGCACATAGCACCCCAAGTTGGTGGTTGCTCCACCCTCAGGCAGCCAAAGGAGGCATCTAAAACTACACATTAAAACCAGACAGCCTCTGCATGACATGGGTAAGAAGTGGCTCATCCACCACAGCGAGACTCACAGTCAGAACTCAGCCACCAGAACAAGCTGCAGGCAAACCACACCATGGGAAGAACCTGGTAGAGCTGCAAACCAGCAAGGCTTGGAGGCTTCCCTGGCAGGTCCTTGCTGCTACTTCTATTGCTCAGACCTGCTCCTTGTCAAGGAAAGAGCTTCATGGGGCCTCAACAAGCAGACAAGGGACAGTAACTGAACAGACACTTTCCAGCCCATCAAGAGACACAGAAAACCTGGCAACATCCAGCAGCATGAGACATCCAGATGCTCCTGCTGGGTCAGCAAGGCTGGTTGTCAGGCTGGGCTGTGTTAGCAGCTCTATGCCTGGGAGCAGCAGGAGACGAGCCCATGCCACCTGACTGAGCACAGGACCAGCAGCAGGAGCAGTGAGTGGAGCTCCATCCTGCTGCTGGTTGCAAAGGGAGCTGGAGCACAGCAGCGATCCCACGGTCCTCCCTCCCCAGCTGCTGTCAGGGGAGCACAGCTTGGTACGTTCAGGGCTCTGGGGACCAGCAGAACGATGGACTTGGCTCTAAGATGGGGAGAAAAAGCAGCATAACTCCCCCTTTAAGGTCTCTTCCAACCCAAACCATTCTGTGGTTCCATAACCTGCTGGATTCTTGCCAGACACCTTCACAAGGCAAGTGGGTCCCACTAAGTCAGCTCCCAGCTGGCCCCATACCTCTGTACATGACACAGCAGCCAAGTGCATACCAGTCAGTCCAGCCTTGAGGACATGAATATTACCAAGACCTTCCTCCCCAGAGAGGGCTCCCATCCAGTGCCAGGACCAAAGTGGTCTTGGTGCCACACCCAGCCTGTTTTCACTTCTCCATTAGCCTGTGAGGGGGACCCTTGCTGCCCAGTCAGGGCCACCATGCTGCACTAGACACTGCTGTCCCCTTGCACTGACACCACCAGGAAGGCTCATAGTGGGCAGCAGCATCACAGACAACTTTACAGGGCCACCCCAACAGCTGCCACAGCAAGGACAGGGGTTACTTGCTCCCCCCAAGCCCTGTCACCAGGAGGTGCTTGCTCAGCAGAGCCACATCTCCTCGGCAGCCAGCAGCCGTCATCCCTGGCCAGTGTCTCCTACTCCAGCACCCCTCCCCTCAACAGCTGGAAGCAGTTTCCTCCTGCTCAGCAGCAACAGGAAACTCCCCCTTAGTTCACAAGGCTGCAAGTGCTTAACCCCGAGAGCCGCCTCCGTCCCACGCTGGGCTCCACTGAGCAGCAGGGCCGTGTGTGAGCCGGCACAGCCCACTCCACTCCCTCAGCCTGGTGGCCCTACAGCCTCTCCTCAGGGGTCTGAACTACCTTCTGCCCCACATGCAGAGCCTCAGCACCTCTAGTTTCAACAGAAATCCTGCTTTTCTCTCAAAACGCACACTGTTCATAGCTCTGGCACTAATAAACCTCCACTGCTGATGGACACCTCTCCTCACATTCCTCCTGTAGGTCCTCCAGTGCTCACACACCAAACCCACCCAGCCCAACCCACTGTGGCCCCACAGACCACTGGCTTAGCCCTGTATCCAGAGAGGCTCAGCCTGGAGCCCAGCAGGAGCTCCTGCAAATGTGACAATCCTGGGTATAGTCCAAGGCTCTGACATGATGTCAGGGCGAGGGAATGACCTGCCAGGTCTTTCAGCCCACAGAAAGATTAAGGGCTTGATGGGATGAGGCAGGAACTCACTAGGAGGGACGTTTCTGAGGGCAGCAGAAAGCACTGGAAGCAGCAGATGGGAGGCAGTAGCCAGCCAAGAGGACACGCTCTTTAGGCACCTGCCAAGGCAGTTTTCTCTTCACACCTCTCAAAATACTACATCCATCAAGGAGGAAGCTGAGAAAGAATGGAGATGTCCAGCACTGGGTGAGGAAAGCAGAACAAGGGAGGTTTTTACTGGAAGGGACACAGTTGTTTCTGGAGAAGCATTAGCTCACAGTTGGAAAGGAGGCTGGTCACACCACTGAAACATCTCCTGCTCGCCCGCCTGTAGGGATGAGGCAGAAACCGCCAGCTGACTGCAGCAGCCTCATGCTGCCGCCTTCAACATCTGTCCAGAAAAGAGCTGGAGAGGAGAAATGTGTGTCACTACCTGCCACCTTCCAGAGGCCAGGTGATACACCCCTCACTTGCTGCAGCACAACACCAGCAGCTGCCTAAAAGTCACAAAGAAATGATAAATACGGCAGAGAAACACCACATCAGCACTTCACTCTCCTTGTAAAGACTCCCTTTGTCTCTTCCAATTACCCTCAGAATTTAAGTATCCGATTGCCCACCATTCTCATGGAGAGCAATTCCTTCAGAAGGAAAGAGGGAAAGGACTGAATATACAGGTCCGTCTATCCTCAGGCCACCTTTGACTTGGAGGACCTGCCTTTCCTCCTTAGTTACCTTTAGGTCTGCAGGCAGCCCCAGCAGCTCTTGGAGCTCCGAGCTATCCCTACAGCTGGAATGGTCCCAGGGACCAGAAAGGCTCCTGGTACAGGCAAGAACACAGTACTCCATTGTGCTGCTGGGAGCTGGTAGGATCCAACCAACACATCCAAGAGCTGCATCTTGTTGCCAGCTGCTCACATGCAGAGCAGCATCTTCACTCATGCTGCTGAGATCCTCAGCCTCGCAAGTCACTGCTCCCCTGGCTGAAGGTCACCGGGAGAGAGCCTTGGGCAGCCCACGCTGATGGCCAGTGAGAGCGGCTCTGCTCCAGCTGGAAACACAGCCAGTGGGAACATGACCCAGGCAGGCCAGGACAGTGGCACAGCTGCACCCACAAGGTACCTCCTCACCCATTAGTGCACACTGGACACGCACCCTCTGCCTCAGCAGCGGGCACTGCACCCAGGCCACCCGCTTCCAGGGTCCTCCAGGGGGATGGGAACAAGCATCCAAACGCTGGCATGATGTGTGAGACCTGAGCAGCTCAGCCCACCATCAGGAAGGCAGGATGCAGTCAGATCAAGCACACATGTGTCCCCAGGCAGCTCTAGCAAGAGAGAGCTGGAGGATCAGCACATCGTCCCACACCAGGTTCAGGATCACACAGGAGAAGACAGGCACTGATCCACCCTCTTGCTTAGGAGTGTTTGGACAGGCATCCATCCATCAATCCAATGCCTTGTACCCCTACAGCTCATGGAGACACACCTCCCTCACAGACTGCAGCAAACAAGCATTTCCCTTTTTCCTAGAGTGGAAGCAAGTTGTGCTGCTTTCCTTTGGGTTGAGCCAGGCAAGGAAAGTCACTGCTGGCCACAAGTCTCTTCTGATGGCATCTCAGTACAGTTCACCCACCATTTAGTGCGGACGGCTGTTCAGCTGGTACCTGGTGGAGCTTGGAACATCTCCTGCCTGCTTTTCCCTGGCTAGGAGAGAACTGCCTAGGGCTTGGGGCTGCTTGGTCAGCTATGCCACCATTGAGTCACTTGAATTTAGGAAGACCATGAAGGTCTTGAAGAGGCTTCACACTCCTGGGAAGCATGGAGCTTGCCCAGAAAAAATAATCCTGCCAAGTCCCTACACAACCACCCAAATAAAGAGGCAACAAGTTATTAAGGACAGAAAATCCATCACTGTCTCCATCCATCCCAGGGAGGATCTGTCAGAGCTTAGCTGCGGGGAAAGGGGTTTTGGGGTACCAACCTCTTGCACCACCACCACCACCCACAATCCAGGACTGCTCCTTCCAACCACCACTCACTTGGACAGGTTCCAGCATCAGAGACACACCTCTGCTATCTCCTCAAAGTCTCCAGACAAGGCAGCAGCAACAGGGATGCCCTGAGAGCACCCAGGGCAGCCCACTTCCTAAAAGGATTAGCATCTCCAAGCTTTCAAGCCATGACCTGTCTCCCTGCCTTGCAAGGGCCTACCTGGGCTCTGGATATCCAACAGGTCAGCAAGCACCATGTGGCCACCACCAGCAGATTCACTCATGCTCTTATGAGCCAATCCTGCACCCAGCCCATGCTTCCCAGGGCAGGCCCTGCCCAGAGCAGAGTCCTGAAGCCACAGCCAGAAGCACCTCTTTGCAGAAGAGCTCCAGGAACGTGGTGGCTTCTTTCCCCAAAATCACTTCCACAGAGAGGAAAAAAGTCTGCTCAGAACCACTGCAAGGAGAACTGAGGCAGAACTCGACTCCTTCAGTCAAACATCAACCATCTCCCTGCCAACCAGTCCACCTTCCCTCTTCCCAAGCTCCCAGTGTCCTAAGCCACTCCCCTCTCTCCCAGGCTGCCAATTCCCTCCGTTACAGCTCACACGACCTGTGTCCTGCCTGTGATTTCAGGTTGCAAGAGAGAAGCCAAGCTCCAGGTAGGAGCTGGCTTCGTTTCCAGTAACTGGAGAGGAAAGATGTGAGATTAGACCCATGATTAAGGGCAGGGTCTGTCCCGGTATGCGATTCTGGAACAAAGTGACCGGCAAGTGCTGTTGTCTAAGGTGCCCACTAAAATTTAGTCGTGTGCTATCACTATCACGTCACTCACCTCCCCCACCGTGTGCCAGGAGTGAGGTCAAGGTGTATTTCTGGTTGCCCTCGAAGGGTCAAGGTTGGGGAGAAACCAGGTTTCTTTCACGCCAAGTGGCAGGGTGGTCTCTGCCCTGGCTCAACCGGGCTGCTCCCCTCTGACCGGCGGGGCCTGGCTGAGCCTGGCTCAGCTGGGAGGAGCTGATGTAAGATGGTGCCATGCTGTGTGCGCCATGTCATGTGCTGCCAAGTTGGAGATGTGGGTTAGAAAGAAGGCCTGGTATCTCATTCCCCAGGCTCTGGTGGGTGGGTAGCGTGAGGCCCATGCACTGGGTTGCCAAGGAGATACGGGCTACAGAGATGGGCAGAAGCTTGCAAATCCCATGGTGCACCTTGGAGGAGAGATGGTTACCTTACCAGTCTTTCCAGATGTGGCTGCCATCATGCTTAACACTTCTAGGAATGGAGCTGTGGTACAGCCACTCCACTAGCTGCAATAAGGCATCACTAGGGCGTCCCATGTCCAGGGACAGCTCTGAGCTTCGGGGCTAGCCTGCGCTGGCATCATGGCTGGAGTTCACTAGGGACATCAAAGGAGGGATTTGAGAGAAGGTGGGAGGGAGGGAAGGCAGATGGGACAATCTTAAAGTCAGCAGAGTCCCCAGCGGGGCAGGGTCAGGCTGCAGTCACAGCTACAGCTGCCCGGTGCCCACTAGGATCGTCGCCGTGGCGCGGCAGTGCCGGGAGCAGCAGCCATCAGTCTCATCTGGGAGTGGTTTACCAAGGGTTCCCAAGGCCAAGCCAGCCTCACACCACCTCCTGCCCCTCATCTCTCCTGCCAGCCCTCTGGGCAGCCCTTCAGGAGGCCAAGGGCAGCCACCTCCTCTCCCCCTCGCTGAACTTGGCGCTGCAAGAGGACGAGCCCTTCAGGTTTAAATCTCTTGCAACAACATCTCGGTTTAGCTACAGCCTCCAACTGCTTTCCTGCCTCAGGGTTGATGGCTGTGGAGTTGCTACAGCTCCACCATCCCCATGAACGTCCTCCAGCCAACACCAGGCTCAGAAGAAAGAACTGTGGCTGTCCTGGGGAACAACCCATGAACCCATCACATGTGCAAGCCAACCCCTACAGTGAGGGCAGAGGGCTCAGGACACTGGGACTAAGGGCACAGGTTTTAGCCCAGTCTGTGAGCAAAAGTCACCTCCCTAACTTACTCCACCCTGCCTCAGCTCTGCAAGGGAGAGGGCTCCAGCCTAGAGACTGGGCAGCCCACAGCTGCCAGCCCAAGTAATGTTTAACCACATAAAACTTTATTGGTAACATATACTGTGCCAGAATGTGCCCCTGCGAGGTCACCGCTGGCTCAGCACGGTGAGGAGCAGTTGTGGCTGGCAGCCTCTTGGGAAGAGAGCTGCGTCCAGCCACGGCCTGGAGGGGCTGCACTGGCTCCCTAAGGGAGCCATCACCAACCATGGACCCCCTTGGGCAGGGAGAGCTCTACCTACACACGGGGCTCCCTGGAGTCAGGCCAGAAAATCTCTTTCGAAACTAGTAACTTGTCAACTGGAGGGAAGAAACTTAGACCTCAGAGGGTAAAGATCTGGCTGAAGGCCTCCTTGATAACTTTCCTCTTTCTTTCTCTCCCACCATGCACCATAAAATTCTGGTGTCCAACCCTCACACTCAGGGTCCCCATACAGTCACAATGACCATCTTTGAAGGAACAGCAGTAAATGTTTCACCTCCCTCAACCAGGCTGGAGGGATGGTTTGTTTTTTCTTGGTCCTCCCTTCCAGGGACAATTCAACCTTAGCTCCAGCACCTTACACACAAGGGGCAAAAAGACACCTGCTCTCCTGGGCCAGTGAGGAGCACAACACACCCCTCTAGTTATGGGCACCACCACTTTTGGAAAACACCAGCAAGCACAAGCCTCCCAGGGAAGGACTAGCCTGGCTCTGGAGGTCCTTGGAAAAACATCCCAGTCTCTGGTCCAGCCCTAAACCCCACATAATTCCCGCCTACCCCACAGGAACTTCAGCACAACACCAGCTCACCTGTAGAAGGGCAGAAGCAGGAGAGTTCTGCAGGTGTGAGAGGGGCAGGACAGAGGCCAGGAGTTTGCATCCCCTTCCATGTGGCATTTGGGAAGCAAGCTTGGGTTGAAGCTGGGCAGTTACCATCACAAAGCTTGCTGGAAGCACAAGGACGCCAAAGGACCAACAGAGCTAACTGCCAGCCAGGACAAGGTGAGTGGACACAGGTCCTCTTCCTCTCCATTTAAGTGGGGAAGAGCAGAGGCAAATGCCCTGCTTGACAGGCAGAGCTCAGAGGTTAAGCCCCAATGGTCAGTCCCACTGCCCCAATCCCCCACGGCACCACTACGGAGCAGAGACAGAAGCAGGAAGAGCACAACTGGCTGGGAACACTGAGCAGGGCATGGACAGGGCTCCAGCTTCTCCTGACAAGTGCTTCAAGTCAAGCACCTAAACCTGGAATTAGGACACTGCTTCTGTTTTGGCTTTCCCTTTGCATTCCATGGTTTCAGGGACTTCATGTTGGTCTCTGTACCTTAAAGCATCCCAGTTTCAGACCAGTAAAGGCATCCCTACGTCCCCAGCTGTCAGCAAGCAAGCCCTGGGACACCGGGCAGCTGGTTGCACCACCACTACCAGAGGCTCATGCACAGAATGACCCTTCTCTCTAGCCTGCACACAGAGTGGCTAACAGGCTGTCCCATCAGAATTCCTCACTGTGGCAAGGCTCTGGTCACTCATCTCCTGCAGGGTACCCTCCTCCAGCTTTGAAAGTGTTTGAGTCACTTGGGTCACAGTTGAGCCCCTCAGTTTTAGCACCAAGATGAGCCTGTTGCCTTTGCTGTGACTTCAGGGAGGACCTTTCATAGCTATTTTACTTGCTGACAGGTAGCATTTCCTCCCAGCAGTCCCTCAACATGGTTCTCTGGCCATGGGAACCAACAGAGTCAGCCAGACATTGAGCCCTGGCTTCCTCCCATCTGCCTGCCCCTCACCGGAAAGCAGGCTGGACCTGCAGGGTCAGAAATCATGGCCCAGCTCTGCCTGCTCTCAGCCACACAGACCCCTCCCCTGCAGCTGGCTCAGGGCTGGGCCCCCCATGCCCACAGCCAGGGGCAGGCTCTGTCCAGGAGCCAAAGGTGCAAAGGCCGGGGTCGAACTGGCAAGCAGAGACTGAGGGAATGAGCACCAGGGCAGGGAGAGAGGAGGGCCTGGATCCTGGCATGGGAGGTGGGGAGCGACTCACCTGAGCGTGAAGAGCAGCAGCCGCAGCAGCGGCCGCCGGGTACGTGAAGGCGGCGTGGGGGATGGCAGGGGTGAGCTCCGTGGTGTACAGGGGGTAGGGAGCCCACGCCTCGGGGGACGCTGGGATCAGAGCCGCTCCAGTCAGGTCATCTGCGCAGGAGGAAACAAGGGGACAGACCTCAGTACCTCACCCCAAAGGCCTGCTCTGGGGACAGCCTCTGGATTTCCCACCCCAGGCTAAAGCTTTGTGCTGCCATCCCAGTGAGGTACAAAATCTGTGTGCCCAGCTGCTCCTCTGATCTCCCAGCCTTGCCAAAAGAGGTCATGAACATGTTCCACAGAGGCTCTGGACAGGCTGGTTCACACATGCAGCACAGGGCTGGTGCCACAGGACAGAAGATGGGGGCTCTCAGGGAGGACATCACTCATCACCCAATGATCCTCAGTGGGGCTGCTCACCCCACCAGGCCACACCGAGGGTGATGGCACAGCACTCATTTTTTATGCTTCACACCCAGGGATGTTTCACAACTAGGGATGGTTTAAGGGATTTATGGTATCACTTGAACTACCAAAACGAACTCTGCTCTCCCAACAGTTCTAGTGTTGGCCTCAGCAGATGCCTGTTATTCTCCTACAACTCCAACCTCTGCACCAGGCAGGTTTCAGTCAAAGCAGATGTGGATCGGGGTTCCTTTCACCCTAACAGCATTCCCAGGGTTGGGCATCTCCCGGGGGGACCAGCAACGATCTCCAAGCCCTTCCCAGCATACTCACAGGGGTCCCGTGCAATGAAGTGTGCACCCAAGGCAGGGTGGATATTGGTGGGGTTCGGTGTGGCCATCAGCTTGCTCTTGGCCATCTTTGTGTTGGCTTTAGCGAACTCTAACCGCAAGGTCTGGGGGTTCTCAGGGTCGAAGCGGATGCCCTGTCACAGGAGAAAGCACAGGAGTCTCTCAGACGTGAAGCTTCCAGTCCAAGCACAGACTTTCCTGCTGAACCAGGGAACTAAGGCCACCATGCTGCAGTCACGTGCCCAGATTTTTGTCATCTCACTGCAACACTCAAGCTCCCACATGCTTTTATTTTTATGTTTAGCTGGCCCAGGACCATGCTTCCAACATGAGGGACACAGTTCTGCTTCTCAGGTGCAGTTCACCAACCACTATGGCTGCCAACACTGGCCAGGAAAGATATGTCTGCTGGGGTTGAGATAACCCTGTCTGTACTCGAGTTGGTATAACCCCCACCTATGTGGGAGCTCCCATCTGTGGTGCCACTACATCTTCTGCCAGCCTGAGCAGAGGCACTTGCAGGTGTACCAAAGCCCCAAGGCAAGGTCTATACCAGAGCAGAACCATGTCTTGCTGACTAGATCCCACCAACTCCTGCAGGCCCACATGGGATAGGGATTATTTTGGGTCCCATGTTGACCATCATCCTCAAGACTTTCTTGAGCAACTACAGTTCCCCACACCCTCAGAGGCCCCAGAGCTGTCTTCCAGCAGTCAGAAACAACACAGACACAGCTTGCATCCATTTGCTCAGGTTGATGTCAGCCTTAAGCAGCTCTCCTGCTTCACTGGTGGGATGCTGCAGGACTGTTTTGCTTCCTTACTCAAAGGCACAGCTGGGAGACCCTCCTGTCCTATCCTATAGCCAAGTCAAACCCACAGCTCCAGGTCTAACTACAGCAGGGCACGTGGCCCCCAGCCCCCACCGTCCCCCAGCACTTCAGGGACTCACATTCAAGGCGTTCTTCGCTGCTTCAGCACCAGCCCGGCTGTCAAAGGTCACAAAACCAACTGGCTAAAAGAAATAACAACAATTTCAGTTTCAAAGCCTCTTGCAACTTCTCAGACTACCTTCCCCCTGCCTCTGCCCCAGACAGCAAGCAAAAGAGACCATCCAAAGCTGCAGAGGGGCTTCGGGCAGAGCTTGAAGGGTCTTGGGTCATCAGTCCAAGATTCCCACTTTGTGCCTTCTCCCAGCACACCAAAACATTTTTGGCACCCCCACGTGTGGGGACACCACTCACCCCAACAGCCCCCAGCTAGAGGGCCTACTGCCTTGGTCAGGATGGGAGTAGGGAAGGCTGATGGCAGCACAAGGTTTGAGGGTGAAGCCTCAGGTCTCACCCAGGGCAGCAAGAGAAGACGTGGAAACATTCAGCTTATGCTTGGGACAACTAGGACAGTGGGGTCAGCAGAACCCAGCTGTGTACATGGTGCTGATCCCAGACAGTGCTTGAAAGTGAAATGGGATCCCCCCCTCCCCTCTCGGCACATCTGGTTTTCGAGCAGAAGCCAAAAATACCCAAGCTGGAAGAAGGAGGTACCTGCTTTGAAGTCAGCTTGATCAGTGACCCTTCATAACCCTGCAGGAGGGAAGAAAGCAAGTCAGTGTCAGGCTCCCAAAGGAGCCAAGCTACAACTGAGACACAACGTGACAGCCCCAGGAGTTCCTGTAGCACCAAGCCCTCCATAAGGCAGCAGGAGCAGGGACAGTAACACTTCTTTCTCACCAAAGGAGAAGACTGAGGGCAGAGCAGGTATCTTAGCTATCCCATCCTGGCCCCTGGAGAAGAAATCCCATTTTCTAGCACTTCCAGCTATAAAGATGAGCACCCTGCCCTGGCTAGTGCCTACAGAGCACAGACCACCCACCCTGTGCTAGAGGAATGCAGACAAGGGAACCCCACTTTCCCCAGGGACAGCCCAGGCGGTGATTAGAGAGGGATAGAGAGTTTAGGGGATCAGGATACATCCCCAAGGAGGGCTGGTCCAAGCAGATTTCATCAAGCTTAGAGACAGAACGATTCCAATGGCAGGCTCCCGGGGAGGTTCTTCATCTGAGCACAAGCATGGGACACCATGTTGGCTTCAGGTTTCCCTAGGCTTGCACAGACACCACCTTCCCACATCATGCTCCCTTCCCCCGACAGACCTTTGTTGCCAGGTCATTCACAAAACAGCATCTTTGGCACCAAAAATCAGATCTGAAGACCTTACCTTGAATGGTCGGAAGAGTAGGTAGAGCTCTCTGGGCTTGATATCCACAGGAAGGCCACTGACAAACAGCGTCCGTACCTAGGGGAGAGGCCAATGAGCTCTACTGAAAGGAGATGCTTGGTGCCAACGTGGGAGCACAGAGCACAGCTTGGAAGCCACGTGCAGCAAGAGCAGGACACCTTGAACCAAAGGTCCACTAACCCTTCCCTGCATTAGAGGAACATTGTCCAGGATAAAAAGACACCCAGCCCTTTCATTCCTGCCACAAAGGATTGAGACCTTTACAAAAATTCAGTGCCCAGCAGAAAGGCCTGGTTTGATCAGGGCATGATCACCAGCCCACACCCTTGATGGCTAAACTGGAAAAGACCATACATTCCATAGGAACTAACAGTTTGACACATGCCAAAGGTCCAGAAGAAACCAGTAGAAGACCCAGTTGTCTCTCCAGCTCTTTCTACAGATCACACACACTAGATCTCCTCTCCTAAGCCTATCCTGACACTTTACTCCAGTCACCAATTCAAAGACAGCCCTCAATTTTGAGAAACACTTCACTACTCCACTCACATCCTTTGACACCTACAAGAGCCCTACAACATCACTGGAGGAAGATTTTTGGGTCCCATCCCAGATCCTTCCCCAACAAACATCAGACTCTTCAGAAGTCTCTCCCAAAGCCATTCTCACAGTGTTTGTTCTGTTGTGCCTTGCCAACAGCAGCCCTGCTGCACCAAGGCCCTGAGGGCTGCTGCTCTTCCCAGCCTGTAGAAGTCATGGACCAAGTCCAAACACACTCATGTGTAAGCAAAAAACACAGTGCCAGAGGAGAATTTCAATAGATAATCCATTAAAATTAGAGAGAATAGTTCACTTAAATAGCCGGGAAGAAGAGTGCTGAAGGCTCGTGGCCTGGGAGAACTCTGCTCAACAGTCAGACCATTGTGGCCACTTTCTCCCTGCACACTGGCTGGCAGACTGTTTCCATAGGAAGCAGCATGATGAAGCTGCAGAGATTTCTTGTAAATCAGCAAAGACCTGGAAAGGGAAGTTATGCACAACGGGGGTCATGAAGACACCCGTCATCATTAACAAGGAGCAGGAGCCTCAAGCCAGAGCCCATCTCTTGGCCTGCTTCCAGTCTGGAGTGACCCCATTACATTTGCAGGGCAGAAGGACTCTACTCCCACATTTTTGGTTTTGCTCAGCCATTTCCCCTTCCCCAGGGAAAGGGGTTGTATCCAAAGCCTCTTTTGCCATCAAACTGAGCAGCACACACTTGCCCTGCTCCTGGGCTAGAGACAGTGAGCACATGAAAACACAGGAGCCTCTGCACTCCGTAATTCCTTCGAGGCAGCCAGATCAAGATTCCAGGGAAGTTTCTACTATTTGCAGAAGAAAACTCACCTCCTTGACCTCCTGTGCCCAGGACAGTCCGGTCAAGGCAGAGAAACACCCCTCACATCAACTCAGGAGGCCACTGAAGCCCCTCAGGATGGACAGTGATCATGAAAGGCTGGGGTGCTCTTAATCTCTGTGCATGCTGAGACTGAGGGCTGCCACCACCCCCCATCAGTGTGGGGAGCCCTTCTCCAGCCCAGCACATCTCAAGACTGGAGAATGCAGCCACTGAGCATCCTTCCCATCCCCTCCCCTGATCCCTCTCAATATGGATGGCCTTACCACACACCTTTGCTTTGTCCTACCTAGGAAAGCAGGATGTTATGTGGAGCACTCCAGGAACACACCAGGCTCGGTCCAACAGACTCCCCACCCCAGCCACAGTGCATCACTCCAGGGGCACCCCATGCACAGACAGAGGGGGCAATGTCACTGTTTCTCAGTTTTCTGTATGCCTTGAAGACTCCGGCGCTTGCGCTCTGGCACGAGCCACAAGGAGCGCCTGCAGTGCATTCCCAGAAGACCCACGGCCATCTCTTGCAGGGGAGAACTGCAGAGTGTGGTGGCACACATGTGCCTCAGCCATGTGAAAGCTCCATCCCTTTTCAATATTTCAGGATCTGAGTGTGCTCAGCCCCCAGAATGGATGTTTCTTCCGAGCAGATAGAAATCTGCATCCCTGTTGGGTCTCTAAATGGCCCCGTGACACGTCGCTCAGTAAGTCCTTGCGACAGGCATGACAGGATGGAAGTTGTGCAGTGGCTCAGGGAAGGGGAAGTTGGCACTTGGAGCCCTTACAATGGCCTGAACAGAGCAAGGCAGGTGCCCAGGAAAGCTCTTTGTCAGGGGCAACAAGCTCCCAGTACCAGAGGTAACAAGCTCCCAGTGCCAGATGCATAAGTTGCTGTCAAGGATGGGAGCAAGAAACGTTCTCTCACAGGCCAAAAGATTCCCTTGGCCTCCAAGTCCTGTCTGTCGCCATCCACAGCATTGGAAAGGGGGTCCCACAGCCAAGCCACAGCACCCACCAAGGGTCGGCATCACTCCAAAGCCTGGGAAATCCCAAATGCCACCAGCCAACCACCTCAAAGAGGGTGTACACAAGACAAACTAAGAAAGAAGTCCCTGCTCAGAAGAGCTTGTTAGAAGCAACAAGACCAAGAGGTTGGTTTTCCAAGATCTCTGCAATTTAACACATCCATAAGTGATCAAGAGAAGGGTAAGGGGAAAGAGAGACCAAGTTATTCAGGGAAGGGAGGGTGAGGCTGATGAGAGACCTGAGCAATAATGCAATGGATAGAGTGAGGTAAGCCAGAGGAAGCTCACTTCCAACACCAGGCATAAAAGCAAAGGAGATCTGAGTTATCCCACAGAAGAAAAGCAGGAGGCAGCTCAGCAGTCTGAGCCTCTTGTGCACCAAGAGCAGCCCTAGTCCAGCCTCCTCCCCTGCTCCCAAAGAGAGCAAACTGTAAATGAGGGCAACAGGATCTGAACAAGCATCTTCAAGTGAATTAACCAAACTGAACTCTCCAGTCAGCCCTTTGCAGCCCAAGTCCTGCAGGCTTTGAGAGGCCGGTAGGACCACCCTGGACTGACAAATCTAGGCATCCAGACCTCACACTCAATATGCCATGACAGGGTAAGCTTCTGCTAAAATATAATTGCCCTGCTTCAACTCCCTGCCTCTAAACACCAGATCCATGTAGATCTTTAATCTCCCCACTGCACAGCTGGAAAAGCCACTGGACAAAAAAAAAAAAACACCCACCAAAAATATCCATCCAGGGCAGGGCCAGGAGCTGCCTGAGCCAAACTGCACATCCAGACGTTCAGCAGGAGCAGATCCCCAGGAATACCATGTTCTAAGCTTGCTCTTGGGCTCTGCTGCCACCCACTCGAGATACCAGGTGAGAGCAACCCCATCCCACCCAGGGCTGATCCAAACTGGACACACAGGCACAGGGGGAAGCAGGGCAGGGAGCAGCTCTTGCCTAGGACAGTCCAGCAAGGTCACAGTGCTGCAGGCCCTGCAGAAAACACTCTCCCTTCCCCATCCCTGCCCCTCTTGGGATGTCCCCAGTCCAAACACCTGGCAGAGATGAAGGAGAGCCACGGAAAACAGGATTCGTGCCAGGAGGGACAAGACCATCTAGGCCATCTCTTAGAGAGGGAGGATCCCAGCACAGCTTCCCACGCAGGAGGAGGGAGGGACAAGGACAAACCCATTCAGCTCTCACTCCTCAGTGTCAGTCCTTGCACAGCTGCGCCTCCCCGAAGAGACACACACCTTGTGCCAGCACAGCCAGGAGCTTCACACCAAGCCCTCAAAGGAGCCAGGCAGCAGCACTTGCCTCGTCCTGCCACAGCTCCAGTGCCACCAGAGGGTCAGCATGGTTCTTACAGCACCCACAGCTCCTGGCCATGGCTGCTTTTAAATAAGAGCTCTCCAAAGGGAGCCCTAAGCAGAGCCAGAGGCTGCCCCACTGCCCAACAAGGGTCAGGTTATGTCAGAGGTGCCCAGTGTAAGGGCACAGGTACCTACCACAGGCTGCTGTGGGTGGTGGGTTTTTGTTGGGAGACTGCTCTGATTCCTCCCGTGGGAACCAGTGAGGTTGACCCTCCCCTTCTGTGAGTTCAGGCCTTCAGCTACATCACCCACAGCACAGCTGGGGCCACTCCAGCCTCTCAAAACTGGCCAGGTCCTGGATCCACACTCCCAGCACCTGGAACACACAAGCCTTTCCCAGCAGTGATTCCAGACACCCGAGGACAGCTACAGCAGGAATGGGCTCTAGTGCCTCCTCCAACACTGTTCCACTGGACACTCCCCTCTCCAGGAAGCTACCCCAGCTGCATGCCAGTTTTTCCTGCATACAAGCCATCTCCCACTAGTTCTCACAAGGCCCATTGAACCTTCTTCCTACACCACCAGCCCTGTGTCATCCTGCTGAGGACAGGGAGAAGCTCCACGGCAGCATCTTAAAGGCACTCCCCACTTCTGGTAGCCAGGACATGTCCCAGCTCAGGGACATGGACGCCAGCTTCTCCCAGAGGAGAGCATCCCAGTGGGGTGCCTCTGAGGCACCCGGGGCCACCGGCAGAGCCGCAGGGGCACACGGAGCCCCGGTCCCGGCCACGGCGATGCAGCCAGGGCCACTTGACGCGAGGCCGCTGGAATGCGGCGAGGCTGCGGCTGCCCCGGGAGCCGGGACTTATAAGGCACGGGAGCGAAATCGGGGAGGCGAGCTTGCACAACAGGGCTGAGGGAGAGGAACGCGAGAGTCCAGCGGCGGGGCTGTAAAATGGGACAGCACCTTCTTCTCAGTGCAGGTCCTGCCACTGCACGGGGGAGACCCAGCACAGGGCAGTTTTGCTCCTCAGCACATCTAAGTCCCAGGAATCACAGGGGAAGGGAAAACTGGGGAAGAGAGATGGTGGTCTGTGCAAGGGACAGCGCGGCAGGACAGCAGGGCAGCCTCCACACCATGGGCCAAGACACCGAGAGAAGGAGCTTGTAACAGGCTCCTTCCCTGATCCGTGTCTCAGTTTCCCCTCCCCTCATCAGCAGAGAGGTGGCAAGAGCTGGCTTCCTGCTGCCATTCCAGCCCTGGCAGAGCCCTGATGTCCCCAGACAGGGCTGCACTGAGCTCCAGTGCAGGATCAGGCCAGAAGCTGCT